CAGGTTACAAAAGTATTTAAACAATTATATTTAGAAGGTTTTAACTAGTTTCGTACTAATTTTATGTTCATAACTTGGGAAAATATTGCCTTAAAATACGTAATTATAAATAGTATTTCCTTATGATCATCAACTGTTTGTATTCACTGCACATTCTAGTTGATTTCCATGTTTAAAACAAAACAAAACAAAAAACAAACTATTGCAGGAGACTTAACTACCTAAATAGGTCTTAGAGGGAAGGCATCAACTGCTGCCACAGAAGTTGATTTTATTTACTTAGAAATGGTTGCAACGCTCAAGGCCAACATTTTAAATTAGTAACAATATTCTCTGAGGAGCACAGAGGTAGGCTCAGAATCTTTCTTAACACAGTGCTTCCAAGACAGCCACTACTAATTGGCATGAGAAATGAAACCAGCTTATCTCTGCCTCTCTGATGGTTATGTTTTCAGGGACCCAGTGCCTGAAAGGTAGAGTAATTGCCACTAGATGGCACTAGTGCTATGTCAAGAGAGTCCTCAAGGCCCAGGTCTCTAATCTGTTCCATTTGAGACATTTACACATATAAATGTCCCTAGAAGTCCTTAACCACTCAGCAGTTGTTGACTTACCTTCCCAGTCCAACTGTTGAAAACTTTTCTCTGTTCCCTTGGACTCGATGTTCAAAAACTAAAAATCTGAGGAAGAAAGCACAAGGGTACACTTCTATCTTGTGTTGTTGCGGGGAGGGGGGGGAGGCACTTTTATCTTCCGTGTCTAGACTATTGTTTCCCTGTAGTGTTGTCTTCCATGTTGTTCCAGGAAGATGCTTAAGCTAATTTTCATTTTTTCTCTTGACAATATATTTAATTTTTCTGAGCCTTAGTTTCTTCATTTATAAAGAAGATTGAAAATAAACACTCTAGGCCCTCGCACCAAAGGTTCAATTCCCAATCAAGGGCACATACCTGGGTTGCATGTTCAATCCCCGCCCTGGTCAGGGTGCATGCAGGAGACCACTGATCAGTATGTCTCTCTCACATTGATGTTTCTCTCTCTCTCTTTCTCTCTCTTTCTTTCCTTCTCCCTCTCTCCCTCTCTTTATCCCCCTTCCTCCCTCCCTCCCTTCCTCCTTTCCATTCTCTATCAAAATCAGTGGGAAAAATATCCTTGGCTGAGCATTAACAACAACAACAACAACAACAACAAAATAGACACCCTCGGAGAGTTGTTTTAGAGGTTAAAAGTGATATATTTAGCCATCGCTGTGTGGCTCTGTTAGTTGGAGCATTATCCTGTACACCAAAAGGTTGCAGATTTGATTCCCCATCAGGGCACATATCTAGGTTTTGGGTTCCATCACCAGCCAGGTGGAAGGCAACTGATCGATGTTTCTCTCTCCCTTCCTCACTCTCTAAAAATTGACAAAAACATATCCTTAGGTGAGGATTATTAAAAAGTAATATATGTAAAATCTTATATATTATGATATAGATGGGTTTTAAGCATTTTAATAACCTTATTGCAAGACTTTTATTATTACAAGTACACTATATACATATATTAAATATAAGACAAAGTTTAGCAACTACCTTTCCTTTATTTTTTGTTACTCAAACTGAAAAATTCCACCACTGGCTCCTCAGTACTCCTTCTTCTTTTCCCATGTGTTTGCCCAAGTTCAGTAGTCCAGCTCCCCTCAAAGGGCTAAAGTTGTCAACATTTTGCCCTCAAGGGTCTGTTGAACTTCTGACAGCTCAGTTCTTGGATATAGCATTTCAGCACCCATAGTACTATTTATTATTTTCTGTACTGAGTTTTAATTTTTAGGTATAAAACTATTTCTCCTTCCTCTGAACTGAGTACTTTGTCTTAATCATATCATTATTGGTTTGCATATACATCTACTCTCTTAACTTTATGCTTTTTAAAAAATATATCTGAGTATTAAGCACATGGTAAGCAAACATTTATTATGTATACTGTGTATCACAGTTTATTAACAAAACACTTTTCCAGAGAAGAAAAGACAATTAATAGGTTATCTTGTGGCTTTATGTTGCTCTGTTGTTAGAGCTCTTCATCAGTTTGAGATGTTATACCTTAATTGGAACTACAAGTACCCATGAATAAATTTAAATAATTGTCAATTTCAGAGAATGTGTTTCCATTTCGCATTCTCCTTTTCTTTTTATCAACCCTGTAATCAAGGCACAGGATCTTATTTAAGCTAACAAATGATTATCCTTCATTACATAAGTAGTATGTAACTTGACCTTAAAAGGCTGCTTGCTTCATGAGATGGCAGTGAATCCAGCCCCCAGCTGTGTCTACTTTCACAATATCTTAGTACCTTTGAAAAGAAGCTGATTTTGCAGGAGCCTGGGAGTCATTGCCTCACACTTCCGTCTCTGATCTGGAATGTGTCGGTGTTTTCAGGCCACGGAACTGCATCGTCTCCCATGAGTTCTGTTCCTCTTGGGTTTAAAATTGAAACCCAACATTTGAAAAGTGTTCTTTTTGTTTACAGACCACACGCTATATAAATATACAGTTTCTGAGATGTACTCTTGTACTTCTTGCTGAACTCATTTTTGAGTATTACTAAAAATTAGATAAAAACAAAACTTGAACAATAAGAGATGAATAACATGTGATATTGTTGGAAAATGGATAAAGTATTTAAAATCTAGGTAATACAAATGGACTAAAGTGATTTTTTTTTTTAATCCTCACCTGAGGACATTTTTTGATATTTTGTTCAGATAGAGTAGGAGGGAGAGAGAGAGAGAGAGAGAAACATCGACGTGAAAGGAACACATCGAGTGGTCGCCACCCACATGACCCAACCAGGGCCAGGGACAAACTGCAACCGAGGTACGTGCCCTTAGTGGGAACCGAACCCCGGTCTCTCCAGACCGCAGGCCAATACTTTAACTGCTGAGCCAACCCGGCCAGGGCCTAAAGTGATTTTTAAAAACATAAGATTTTAGTGAATATTTTTGGCATTCCTAAGAACTACTTATGCATGAAAACAATGGAAAGATCATCAAGAGAACTTATTGTTAGGTTTATATTATGCACAAATCAAAAAGCTTCAGGTTGTAGATAGAAGGATCAAGATGATTAGGTTAAAAATGCACATATGGCAGGCAAAGGTGTGATGTCATTAATGTATGAAAAACTCCTCTCTTGGACTGTACTAGGGCACACTATAATAAGAGCAGTATTATAATATTGTTAACAATAATACTAATTTTTGAATGTTATGATATACTGGGCACCCTTCAGAGGGCCTCTCATATATTTTAATCCTCATAGTAATTATTATTAGCGTTCCATTTTACAGAGGATGAAACAGGCACAGGGAGGTTAAGTAACTTGCTCATATAGCTGGTAAGTAGCTAGTAAACTGGGTACTGTTTCTGAGTGCATGGCTGTTTTTCTGATCCCGGGAGTGTGGTTCTGATGTCTGTTTTCTTAACCACTATCTTATACCGCTTAACATAGGCAAAGGGTAAGAAAGGAAGTTCTAAAAAGAGAATAAATAAAATGACCCAAAAGTATGAAAATTTTTTATTTCATTAATGATACAAAAGCAAATTAAAATAAAAATGAAATACTATGTCTCTTACGAATAGAGCGATGAGAATAGGAAGTTTGCATGGCATGGTGGTAGGAATGTGTTTCTGGAGTGTGTGGCCCACTCAGCATCCTTACCCACAAGGCCCTGCTGGCAGAAGGCTTCCTGGGACAGGGGAACAGTGCTACAGGGCTGAGGCTGGAAGTTCTCTTGCTCCAGGCAGTAGGAATGTGCCATTGTCTTGGTAACTCTTCCGGAGAACTGTGAAGAGGATGCAGCTCACTCCACAGTCTGGTTTTGAACTTCATTCTACAGTTGGTTACATTCCTGGGTCTAAGGTAGCATGGTGTGCAAAGCTGGCCTTTCCCAAAAGGAGCAGGGTCTGGTCGATGACCACTGCGTGTATATGTGGAAGGATGAGTGAGAGTTTTAGAGGCTTTCTTTTGAGAAAGTCTGTGAAGAGATTGCCAGGCTTTTAGCTTTGATTAAAATTTTTCAAATTACACATTTCCTGTGGCATTATTATATCTGAGAGAAATTTCATAAAGCTGTACTCAGTTGCATCAACTGTTGACAAATGATTCTTGATGTTTAGTTTGGTACAGGATGCCGGGAATATAAGTCTACTTCCTTTATTCAAACTCAGTAAATGGTTTGGGACAATTAATTTCCAATTGTTTCCCAGTAGAGCAGGTTTACTTGTATATTAATGAGGCACAGGTGTTAGGCCCCTGGTGTCTGTGTGCCTGGGAGGCATATTTCAGTGGTTTATCTACTCAGCCATAGGTACTGCAAGGCACTCAAGCTTGCCTTGAGCAGTTTCTACAGTGAGGCTTTTTAATTTTTTGATTTTTTTTTTCAAATATGCCTGCACCTGTTAAAATTTTAAAACTGATTGTGTAGAAAGAAGCTGCAGAGATTTCAATAGTAAATAGCACTGAAAGTTAAAGAAAGCAGTCTTCTGTTATATTTACCTGCCCAGCCTGACATTAAAGAGAAATGGGTTCATTTCAATAGACATTCCATGTGCGAAGCCAATATAATCCACAATACGCTTTTTTGTTGTGTGTTTTTGGAGCACGTATATTTTTGTCAATGGCTAAAGCAGTCATAAGCTTATATTAATATTCATTTTTTTTGTCTTGTTTATTCACTGAACTGTACTACCAACGTTTTAGAGGAAATGGAATAGCCTCCATAGACATTATGAATTTCAGTAGCTGGCATAATTATAGTGATCTACATATTCATTAAATCTACAGAAGAACTCTGTCCAAAAAGACAGCCATGCGTTCAGAAACAGTGCACAACTAAATATATACGTCTTAAAAGTTGCATTTCTTAGGCTTATTTAAAATTAATTTCCTGTAGCACTCCTCTCCAAGCAGAAGAATTTTAACAAAAGGATCTCCATGCTTTGGTTTCTTGCATATAGGAAAGAATGGGAAGAACTCTTTGTAAACAACAATTACTTGGCAACAATAAGGCAGAAGGGGATTAATGGGCAGCTGAGAAGCAGCAGGTTCCGCAGCATTTGCTGGAAGGTAAGAAGAAAATATTTATTTACAGTTTGTGGTTGCAGTATATCAACACATTACCTGATGCCCTGGAAGATTACTCAAGCAGGGGATCACTGAATTTTCCAAGAGACTTCACTCTACTTTTTTTGGCCATCCATGTATAATCTTTCATAGGACATTTACTAATAAGGTTGAACCACCTTAGTTCTGAATTACTGGTGATGGTAAAGGAGTCATTTGAAATAACTGTCTTTTCATCTCATTTGATGGTGCAGAATTCAAAGCAACACCTTAACTGCCCATAAGCTTTGCAGAAATCCTGGAAGCTGGGCAGGAGCAGAGGGGCATTAACTTTCAGGTTCCTATTATCTCTAGTAGTGCCTTCATTTAGTCATCCTTCCTTTTTTCTTCATAAATAGCAGATAGAAAAGATTTTTTATATGTTTCTTTTTCCCTAAACAAAGTGTAGGGCAGCAAGAAATGGAAGGGAATTAGGTCAATCTCTTTCCAAGAGAAAGGGTCATTGGTTACCAAAACTAGTAATAATAACCCGCAGTTGTCTTTTTAGTTGCTCGGACATATTTTTTCTTCTCAAAATGAATTAATTTAGGTTTAGTCTCATTTTTAAAATGACTTCTATTGAAAGTTTTTTAGGGTAGATCTGCATGAATTGAGCACCCGGAGTCTGCAAGTAAAGTCAGTAAGGAAACATGATGTATTAGACAGTTTTAGATTAAATAATTTAGGTTCAGTAATTAAAATACATTTTTCTTCTGTTAGACACAGGCAGTAAAGGCAGGGGACCTGCTGTACAAATATTTGTGCCTCCCCCTCCCCCATTCTTTGTTGTTTAACTTTTAGTATCCTTCATTTGCTGAAAATAAACTCAAATCCAGATTTATTTTAATGTTGTATTAAACTAAATTAAATCAAATTTGTCTTTTTAAGAATGCTTGTTATTTTCATAAGCTGATTGCCAGTTGTAAATTAAATTTTCTGCTGTAATGTAAAAGCAATGACTTCACTTCTCAGGCTGTGTCCTCAGATTGCTCTTGTCTGTCCTTTACCTGCTTCGTTTAAGACAAATCTTAAACTTGGAAATTGCTAATTGGACCTTATGCCTGCTAATGTCCTCTCTTACCCCCAAACAGTACTTCTCCATTTCACTGGCATAGCCATTCAGGACTGTAAACTTGGAATTATGCTTGAACCTCAATGAATTTTTTTGTACATTTTAATATAAACCTGAAAAGAAGGTCGATTCCATCTTGTGGTGTAGCTTTTGACATCTCATGGGAGGGGGGTAGGCCTTTGTTCACATTTTGAATTGTCCAAATATGTATTTCCTAAATATCTCCAAATATAACTTACTGAGAATGAGAATGATGATAGGAATATGAAATACCAGAGATATGATATCTCAGTTTTCCGGTGATTTGGTTTGGCATAGTTTCACATTTTACTTCTTATGATTTTTACAAAAGTTTTTTTTCTTCTCTTGACAGCTATTTCTTTGTGTTCTTCCTCAAGATAAAAGTCAGTGGATAAGTAAAATTAAAGAATTGAGAGCATGGTATAGCAACATCAAAGAAATAGTAAGTTGTCTTTTACTAAATATAGCTGTTTTCAAATGTATTGGCTCAAAGTCCAGTGGCCTCTGATTTTTGTGTATTTTCTTTCTTTCTTGACCAGCACATTACAAATCCAAGGAAGGTCGTTGGTCAGCAGGACTTGATGATCAACAATCCCCTTTCACAGGACGAAGGGGTAAAGTTTGTCTTTATTCATATCGCTTCTTCTTTTGCCCCTAAGAATATGTTTATCAGATTGGTTATCAATCACTGCAGAAGCAGCATTATTTCATACCAACTTTTTTTTTTTTTTTTTTAACTCCCACGTACTATACCATCTAAGACCTCATGGAAGTTACTTCATGCTATGTACATACTGTGTTTTAGGAAGTGTATGATCTATTTCTGTGAATGGCACTACAAAGGAGAAGCCCCAAGTGGGTCTGTAACAACGATGAGCAAAATAGAAGAATATCAAGATTAGGATGGAGCTGTGTTATGAAGGGTTGCAGTAGGGAGTGGGGAGGAAAGCCCCCTTTTATGATAAAATAGAAAAGGGTTCACTTGTGGGACTAACTCACCAGAAGAGAGGAAACTATTTGTAGTGAGTCCATGAAGAAGTTTGCAAAGACCAGGGGAAAAAATTAGACGTACCTCCACTCATATTCCCATGAAGCCTAGGAATAATTGCTACTTTACGGGTGTGCTATAACTTCTTTAATTACTGTTCTAATTCCTAGATCCCTGCTAACAGAAATTTTTGTCCTGTTAGTATGTAATATTTAACATTTCTTTTACCTGACCCATAATATCATCATAATATAGTCTATGGTATAGCAGCATAAAATATTGTTAAGAAAACTTTTAAACTTTACTTAAATTCACATTTTAAAAAGTACATAAAAATATATTCAATTAGAAGACCAAGCTTTGTAAAAACATTACATTTCTTTCTTAGTGTATTGGGAATTCAGGTCAGGTTTATGTTGGGACCAGTTGGGCTATGGCCCTGCTCTAATCCAAGCAGACCTTTTTGTTGTTGTAGGGGTAGTAGCGGGTGCATAGCAGTAAAAGTATCATTCACTTTATGTAGACAACTGAAAAAAATTAAATATATACAGTAAAAATTGAATAAGGATGTGTTTCTGAGAGTAAATTAGATTTTAATAAAAATTGCTCTAGTTTCAGGTTTCCTATCTGCAATGTGAAATGATGACTCAAAGAAGTTTAAATTTAATCATTTAAATGATTAAATTGAGATAATAAAAGTCAAGCAGAGGTGTGAGATTATTTTCAATGTGTTGTTCTCCTTATTTCAGAGTCTTTGGAACAAATTCTTCCAAGATAAAGAACTTCGATCGATGATTGAACAAGATGTCACAAGAACGTATGTAGAACTATTTATAAGTTACTTTCAATAATTCAAATTAGTGTTACCTCTTTGTGTTTTAGCAAAATGCAAAATCTATTGAGGAGCCTTGTGTTAATAACAAAATTATTTTGGCAAAGTTTTGATGATAACCATTATTTTCTATTCTTAAAATATAGATTTCTGTGTTCCCTTTTTCAAAATAAATTACTATATGTATAATGTTGATACTCTTAAAATAATGTTAATCATTTTTTCAATTTCCAACAATTATTTGAAGTCATGCACTTCTGATTAAGGTTATATTATGTATTCATAATAATGGTACTGCTAGTAAGATTTATCTCTAACTTTACACCTTTGAATTCCTTTCTAACCAAATTACTTTTTAAATGACAGCTATTATTTTTACCATCTTTATTTCTCTTCCTCTTGAAGCCATTGAGGTTTGCAAACAATTTCTTCTCTCAGTCTTCTCAGTATTTACCATGTGAAAATGTAATTTCTTATTTAGCACATAGTCAATAGTTATAACTTTTTTTTAAATCCTTACCTGAAGATATTTTTTCATTCATATTCAGACAGAGTCGGAGAAAGTGGGGGGGGGGGGCATTGATATGAGAGAGACACATCGACTGGTTGCCTCCTGCGTGACCCTGACCAGGGCCAGGGACCAAACCACAACCGAGGTACATGCCCTTGACCAGAACCAAACCTGCGACTCTTCAGTTCAAGGGCTGATGCTCTAACCACTGAGCAAAACCGGCCAGGGCAATATCCATAACTTTTATACATTGATCTCATCTTTCTCGGTCAAGTAGTCAGAAGGACATGGAATTTGTGTAGGAAGATCCTAGGGTAAGTTCCAGCAACATATGCTATATAATCTTGGGCAAATTACTTTCAGAATGTTTTTCTCCTCAGTGTCCTTTTCCATAAATGGGGATAATAGTAATCACCTCACAGTATTGTTACAGATGAATGAGTATATGTTGTAATAGCAGTAAATGAGATACATGTATACTTTACACTGTAGACAATCACATACATGTTAATAATTTGATTTAATCACTGGGATCTAGGTTGAGCAAGGTATACACAGAGTCATGAGTGTCTCTGCTGCGTCCTTCCAAGTCCTACGGCTTTGCCTGCCTATCTAGTCATAGTCAAACTCCTGCTAGATCTTATTACAGTGTCAAGGCCTCAGGCTCTCTGATACTCCTTTTTTTCCAGATTCAAACAGAATAATCAGATGACATGGACTACTTTTAAGGTTATTCTACATATGTATTTAACAAATGAAATTTGTTTAAAAAGTATAATTCAGAGGAATCATGAGGTCAGAGTACAACAAAATCTTGGAAAGTTGGCGATAGTAGTGGGTTGGGAGTGGGAGGTATAGGATTTGGATGAGCTAGAGTTCTCCAGTTGCTAGAAGTAACCACACGCTTAGAGGCCACAGTCAGACTGATTAAAAGAAATAGCAAACAGAAAAGGGGAAGATAAAACTCGGATAGCCAAACCAAGCAGGAAATGGTAGTGGGGGCCTTTTCATCATTTTGGTTACTTAGCTCAAACATTTTTGGGTTGCTGTGTTTGAAAGTGTTATTTCTTGAAATCTTTGTTTTTGTAACTATCTGGTTTCATATTTTTTGTGCATGTTCCTTATAAAATGTGTGTGTGTGTGTGTGTGTGTGTGTGTGTGTGTGTGTAGAAATATATATATATCACATATATGGATACTTTTTTTTTATATATATAATTTTTCTCCACTGCTACATTTTAAGTAAGTTGGCAAACCCGAGATTCAGGAAAGGCAGCTAGGAAGCCTATAGTTCATAGCATAGGTGGGGAAGGTTGCATACCTTCCTTCCTAGAAGGTTTTCCTATAGTTTTTGCCTCATTTAGAGTGAATTTCCTTGTCATCTCTGTATACATCTTGTGTATACAACTTCGTAGGGTAAGACTGTCAGTCTTATTTTAAAGCCACCAAATTGCCTAATCATAAAAGCTGAATAGCATGATTAATTTTACTACTTTAGATAATACATTCTCTTTAGAAGGTACTGCATGATCTCAAATCCAGCTCATAATGCAATAAGAGAAAAAAGGAAGTATAGCTCAGTGAATGTTATATGGTGTTACTCATTCACTGGCATCTGTGATAAGAATTTTGTTTCTTTCAATGTCTCTTTGTTGAATGCTATGCTGTTCCAGGTTGATTCTTCCCATTATAGGGACAGAGTAGTGCATAAGACAGACAAGGCCCTGCTATCACAGGATGTACATTTTAGTGTAGGGGTGGAGCGTGTAAGACAATAAGCTTGTATAGATAAAGAGGGTACTTGTAGAGGGTTGTAATTGCTGTGAAGAAATGAAGAAGGGTGATGGGGTAGCTAGAGGGGATGGCTGCTTTAGGAACAGTGATCAGGAGAGGTACCTCTAAGATGACATTTGAGGTGAAATGTGAAAAATTTTCAAAAGCCAGTCATGTGAAGATCTAGGGGAAGACCATTCCCTCTGTTAAAATGAGCTCAGTGTTTAGAGGAACAACGGGAAGACAGGTACAGCTGGAAGCAAGTGATTTAAGTTGGGAAATTGAGAGGAAGTCAAATGCCAGACAAGTGGTTCCATAGACCATGGTAACGAGCTTGGATTATATTCCAGCTGCAATGGGGAGCCTTGATTAGAGGATATTGAACAGGGGGGTGATATGTGAAAAGATCATTCTGGCTGCTATGATATGGGGCGAAGGTAGAGGTAGGAATTAATTTATTGCAGTATTCTAAGTTGAGGAATAGTGACTAAGACTAAAGAGACAGTATTAATGATGGTTAAGAGTAGATGGGTTGAGGATATACATTTTACATTTTTAAATATAAATTATGGAGTCATTATATGTTGTTTTCTCACATCAGTTTGGTTCCATTTTTACTGCTCTGTTTCAGGTTTTTTTTTGTGTGTTTTGTTTTTTTTTGTTTTTTTTTTACCTCCTACCTTCAGTCTTTTGAATTGTTCTCTTGGATCTATTACCTATGTCTTCCAGTACTATCCATGTGTTACAACCCTATTTCTTCAAAGCACATTTCTAGTCATGATACTTGCTTCATCTTAAAGTTTCTATGACTCTTTGTGGTCTGCAGAAGAATGGACTAAAACACACAGTTCCCTTTAGCGTTTCTATTTATCATTCTGTTATTGATTTCTAGTTAAGTCTATTATGGTCTGAGAACAGATTTCTATTCTGTCAAATACGTTAAGGTGTGTTTTATGGTTCAGAATGTGGTCTATCTTGTGAATGGGTTACATGAGCTCGAGAAGAATGTGTATTCTGATGTTGTTTGATGAAGTAGTGTATAGATGTCAGTTTTATCCAGTTGATTGATGATGTTTTTGAGTTCAACTATGTCATTAATGATTTTCTGTCTGCCAGATCTGTACAATTCTGATTGTAGGGTGTTGAAATTGCCAACCATGATAGTGGATTCTCTTATTTCTCTTTGTAATTTTAGTAAGTTTTTTTCCTTACATGGTTCAATGCTCTTTTGTTAGGCTTATACATAATAAGGATGATTATGTCTTCTTGGATAATTGACCCCTTTATTATTATGTAATGCCTTTTTTATCTTTTAATTAGTGTTACCATGGTATGTTTTTCTCCATCCATTTACCTTTTTGTTGTTGTTGTTGTTAATCTTCACCCTAGGATATTTTTCCATTGATTTTTAGAGAGAGTAGGAGGGAGTGAGAGGGGGAGAGAGAGAGGGAAAGAGAGAAACATCAATGTGAGCAGGGCACATCGATTGGTTGCCTCCCACACACTCCCTGACTGGGGGCCATGGATCCAACCTGCAACCCAAGTAAATACCCTAGACAGGAAATCAAACATGTGACCTTTCAGTGCATTGCCAAGGCTCTAACCACTGAGCAACACTGACCAGGACTCTATCCATTTACTTTTAATCTACACATGTCTTTATATTTAAAGTGAGTTTCTTGCCACAGCAATCTTAAAAAAGAAGAACAAAGCAGAAGGGTTCACAATACTGGATATCAGATTATACTACAAAGCTATTGTAATCAGAACAGCCTGGTACTGGCATAGGAACAGGCATATACATCAGTGGAACAGAACAGAGAACCCAGAAATTGACCCAAGACATTATGCTCAATTAATATTTGATAAAGGAGACAAGAGCATACAATGGAGTAAAGACAGCCTCTTTAATAAATGGTGTTGGGAAAATTGGACACCTACATGCAAAAAAAAAAAAAAAAAATGAAACTAGACCACCAACTTACACCATACACAAAAATAAACTCAAAAGGGATAAAAGATTTAAATGTGACTCATGAATCCATAAAAATCCTAGAAGAAAATGTGGGCCACAAAATTTCAGACATTGCATGCAGCAGAATTTTCACTGATACAATGCCTAAGGCAAGAGGAAAAGGAAAAAAGTGAATAAATGGGACTACATCAAACTACAAAGCTTCTGCAAGCAAAAGAAACAATCATCAAAATGGAAAGGGAACCCACTATATGGGAGAGCATAATTGCCAACGATACATCAGATAAGGGGTTAATTTCCAAAATATATATAGTACTCATACAACTCAACAAAAGGAAGACAAAGAATCCAATTTAAAAATGGGCCTAAATAGACACCTCTCCAGATAGGACATACAGTTGGCCAAGAGACATATGAAAAAATGCTCGAGGTCACTGATCATCAGAGAGATGGCAAATTAAAACGACTGTGAGGTATCACCTCACACCTGCCAGAATGGCTGCAATCAACAGATCATTAAACAAAAAGTGCTGGTGAGGGGGTGGAGAAAAGGGGACTCTAGTACACTGCTGGTGGGAATGCAGACTGGTGCAGCCACTATGGAAAACAATATGGAGTTTTCTCAAAAAGTTAAAAATTGAACTGCCATTTGACCCAGTGATCCCACTTCTAGGAATATATCCTAAGAATATATCCTAAGAAGCCTGAAACACCAATCAGAAATAA